CCCCGGCGACCCCCATTCCGCCATGGTGTGGCCCGTTTTCATTTCTAAAAACTTGCGGCGAAAGGGAGGCCACTAGCCGAGCAGGAAAAGCCGGACTTTGCGAATCCCCGGCGACCCCCATTCCACCATGGTGTGGCCCGTTTTCATTTCTAAAAACTTGCGGCAAAAGGGAGGCCACTAGCCGAGCAGGAAAAGCCGGACCTTTCGAACCCCCGGCGACCCCCATTCCACCATGGTGTGGCCCGTTTTCATTTCTAAAAACTTGCGGCGAAAGGGAGGCCACTGGCCAAGCAGGAAAAGCCGGACTTTTCGAAACCCCGGCGACCCCCATTCCACCATGGTGTGGCCCGTTTTCATTTCTAAAAACTTGCGGCGAAGGGGAGGCCACTAGCCGAGCAGGAAAAGCCGGACTTTTCGAACCACCGGCGACGCCCATTCCGCCATGGTGTGACCTGTTTTCATTAATTTCTAAAAACTTGCGGCGAAAGGGAGGCCACTAGCCGAGCAGGAACAACCGGACTTTTCGAACCCCCGGCGACCCCCATTCCGCCATGGTGTGGCCCGTTTTCATTTCTAAAAACCTGCGGCGAAAGGGAGGCCACTAGCCGAGCAGGAAAAGCCGGACTTTTCGGACCCCCGGCGACCCCCATTCCACCATGGTGTGACCCGTTTTCATTTCTAAAAACTTGCGGCGAAAGGGAGGCCACTAGCCGAGCAGGAATAGCCGGACTTTTCGAACCCCCGGCGACCCCCATTCCACCATGGTGCGACCCGTTTTCATTTCTAAAAACTTGCGGCGAAAGGGAGGCCACTAGCCAAGCAGGAAAAGCCGGACTCCTCGAACCCCCGGCGACCCCTATTCCACCATGGTGTGACCCGTTTTCATTTCTAAAAACTTGCGGCGAAAGGGGGGCCACTAGCCGAGCAGGAAAAGCCGGACTTTTCGAACCCCCGGCGACCCCCATTCCACCATGGTGTGGCCCGTTTTCATTTCTAAAAACTTGCGGTGAAAGGGAGGCCACCAACCAAGCAGGAAAAGCCGGACAGACTTTTCGAACCCCCGGCGACCCCCATTCCACCATGGTGTGACCCGTTTTCATTTCTAAAAGCTTGCGGCGAGAGGGAGGCCACTAGCCGAGCAGGAAAAGCCGGACTTTTCCAACCCCCGGCGACCCCCATTCCACCATGGTGTGGCCCGTTTTCATTTCTAAAAACTTGCGGCGAAAGGGAGGCCACTAGCCGAGCAGGAAAAGCCGGACTTTTCGAACCCCCGGCGACCCCCATTCCACCATGGAGGCGCCGGGGCCCGGCGCGTCCGCTCGGACCAGCCGGGCCTTGCAGCTCGCTGCAAGTCGGGCCGGCAGATGCGGAGGCGCCGGGGGGCGGCGCGTCCGCTCGGGGCAAGCAGCATGCTTTGGCTTGGTTTTCCGGCAAAAAAATCGGGCCCAATCTGGAAAACTTTTGGGCCCTTCAAACAGGGCGGCGTGGGGTCGATTTTTTTTCCGAAAAGTGGATGCGGAGTCCGCCAACTTTTTCCTCCCTATCCCGCACGCCCTGACGCGATTTTTTTTTCCGGTCCGAAAAGTGGATGCGGAATCCGCCAACTTTTTCCCCCCTATCCCGCACGCCCTGATGCGATTTTTCCGGCCCGAAAGGTGGATGCGTAATCCGCCGACTTTTTCCTCCTATCACGCACGCCCTAATGCGATTTTTCCGGTCCGAAAAGTGGAGGCGGAGTCCGCCAACTTCCCCCCCCTATCCCGCACGCCCTGATGCGATTTTTCCGGTCCGAAAAGTGGAAGCGGAATCCGCCAACTTTTTCCCCCCTATCCCGCACGCCCTGATGCGATTTCTCCGGTCCGAAAAGTTGATGCGGAATCCGCCAACTTTTTCCCCCCTATTCCGCACGCCCTGATGCGATTTTTCCGGTCCGAAAAGCCGATGCGAAATCCGCGAACTTTTTCCCCCCTATCCCGCGCGCCCTGATGCGATTTTTCCGGTCCGAAAAGTGGATGCGGAATCCGCCAACTTTTTCCCCCCTATCCCGCACGC